TTCAGAATGGCCGCCGGGTGCTCAAAATGGCTCCCCGCTGTGCTTAGATTCCTCGCTATACAAGCACCGAAAATGGCTGCTGTATGGAGGATCTTCGCTGGACAGTGAGTTTTTAGCCCAGTGGAAGGCATTGAACGGTTTTCAATGTGTTTCAATGGGTTTTTTCCGCTTTACGACGTTTTAGCTCTATAGCGATTTCACTGAAACAACTTAACGTAGTTAAGCAAGACATTAAGGTCTTCATAAATCACAAGGACCTGACAATGAACGATAAGGCCAAAACCCACTTTGGAGCAGGGCGAGCAGGCTTAAAGGGAACAAAGGTGAGGGAAGACAGAGCCCCTCTTACCCAAAAACCAGGGTCCCATCCTTCCGGATGCCAAACTGCGCATTTTGCACCCCTCCAGAGGTCTGCACCAGCCGCCCGTCGCTGATGACATTCCCAAGGCACTTCCCGGTGTCTGTGTTAAAGTAGCCCCCGTTCTGAGCCACCAGGCACTTGCCACGTCTGGCCGTCTCTTCCACCGTGGCTCGGTTGTGGGAAGGGCAGCCCCCCGGCCCGCCGGGCTCCAGCACCGAGAACGTCCGCAGAGGGTCGGCCGCTACCGTGATGTGGCCGTACACGGGGCGCCGGTCGCGGCCCTCGGGAGGGATGTATGAAACAAACCCACGAGTGACGGCGGGCGGGGAAAGGCTGCTATTGTCACTGCGCCAGGAGACGTGCGTCGTGTTGCCGTGCAGGAGAGCTTGGCAATCTCGGAGGGAGCGATGGCGGTGCCGCAATCCGTAGTTTGGAGGCGAGTATGGCATTAAGAGGTCATCGTTGAGCGAGTTCCTGAAACGAAGGAGAATGAGATATCAGCATGACGGCTTCAAGCTGGCTTTATGCAAGCTGGCCTCTATTCAAGGCAACTGCAGCTTTCTAGAATGGGGGGGCTACAACTCCCATCAGTCTCACCCATGGTTAGGAACAATGGGAGTTGTAGTCCAGAATTTTAATTCAGAGGGCCACAGTTGCTCACCACTGATTTAAGAGGCAGAATAGCTTAGTGGTTTAGCCGCCTAGAGTGGTCATGACAACCAGATAGGCGGGATATAAATGGAATAAATGATTTAAGAGGCAGAATAGCTTAGTGGCTTAGCTGCCAAAGTGGTCATGATGACCAGATAGGCAGGATATAAATGGAATAAATAAATAAAATAAATCTGGCTTTGCAATTAGACCAGTCCATAACAACAACAAAATTTCCAGCAATTTAGGTGGTTAATCTCTTAAGCGCTTCCGGGGTTGATGAGGAATCCTGTTGGACTCTCAGGAAAATGTGTTTTTAATATCCGAGTGGTCCAAAAGCAGTATCACCCATGCTTGTTTTTGGATACTAAGTTTACTGAAAACTTTCTCCTTTTTTAAAAGAGCACACATAGGCCTAATTTACTTTATTATCTCCCTGTTTTTTTCTGGGTCCTTTTTTCGCTAAATCCTGAAAAAAAAAAAATCTTTATGTAAAATAAACCTATAGGGGGAACCCCTTAAATTACTCCCAAGGGCAGTGGTCTTGTGAATTTATGGTAGGAAGCGCAAGAACAAAAAACAACAACCCTGCAGAGCCTTGAGGACTAGCAGCTTTGGCTTCTTAAATCCGGAAAGGGGGCCCATTTCCTTAAAGAGTGGGGGGAACGCACATGCAATGGCAGGCAGCCCAGAAAGGGGGACTATATTATTAATTTTTTCATTTTTTAAGATTTCTATCCTGCCCATCTGGAGGGGAGCGGGGTAAAAGCTCAGCCCTGGGGGGGTGGAACCCCTTCCTTTGGGACCCTCACCACTCGGCGCCGCTGCCCTGAGCTCCCAGGAAGGGGCAGAAGAGGCTCCAGAGAAGAACCGCCCCGGCGGCGCCTCTCCGCCGCTCATGCAGCAGACGCCGCGCTATGGAGGCCGCCATCTTGTCCCGCCCGCGGGGTCACATGATGGACGGTCACGTGGCGGGGGACTGGAACGCCCGGTGGCTGATGCCCGGCGAGAATAATCTCTTGCCCCCTCTAGTGGTCAGGGGGCGCAAACGCAGGGCTTGGTCCTCCCAGCGAGTCTCGCGTTCCAGAGCGACGTCTTTGCTATTGTTGCTGATAATAAATTTAATTTAAATTTAAAATATTTTCCACCCCGGCTTTCTCCTTTAAAAGGACCCAAATTGCTGATAATAATGACCTTTCCTAAATTTAAAATATTTTCCACCCAGGTTTTCTCCTTTAAAAGGTCCCAAGGTGGCGGAGGTGGAATTGCAGAGGTGGAAGGGACCCCTGGGGGTCATCCAGTCCAGCCCCTGCCCCGGAGGCACAAGTGGGGGGGAATCGAACTCCCAACTTCTGGCTCCGCAGCCAGAGACCTAAACCACTGAGCTGTCCAGAACTGACTTAGAGTGAGCCTATTGCCAAGGCAAGGGAGGTATTTAAGGAGTGGTTTTACGCATTTCCTACCTCCAGTGAATTTCCATGGAAGAGCACATGATTCAAACCTTTTATGCGTTTCCTACCTCCAGTGAATTTCCATGGAAGAGCACATGATTCGAACCCAGACCAGCCAGCACAGTGTGGTAGATAAGAGCGACAGAGTAAGATTCAGGGACCTGGATTTAAGTTCCTGCTAAGCAATGGAAATTCACAGGCGGTCCGTGGGAAAAAACCACATTTTTTAATCCTCACATCCCTTGAAAGCCCTCTTAGGCTGGCCACAACTCAGATGTGACTTGACAGCACATCACAGAAGCAACAAAAGAGAGCGGGGGGTCTTAAAGAAGGGGTGGATAAAGCCTCAAGGATCCTGGGGCGTACCCCGGTCTCTAAGACTGGGGTTCAAAACCCCAGAGAGGGGTTCAAAAATGGACATGCACTCCCAGATTTATTTTTTTTTAAATTTGGCTTTTCCAGTATTACAAAGGTGATGCAACTGATTGCGAAGGGAGACGGTCCTTCTGAGGCTTCTAAGAGCCTCGGCTCACCTTGTTTGGACCAATTTTGGGTTGCGTGTGCAAAAAATGACTCCACGGGGAAGAATGCAGCTCACGGTCTCTGTGTCCTCATCCCTGATTGAATAGATCAAGAACAAAGTGTTCCAAGAGGAAAGGGGGGGGAGAGAGAAGAGACCAAACATGGAAGGAAATGAAATAAACAGCGGCTGAGCAAGAGAAGAAGAGGGGTAGCCGCTTTCTTTAGCCAAAGACAGGTCTTTTGTAAAGCTCAGGGATCTTGATGTCCTGTTCAGGACAAGATAGGTTGTGTTACAAGGACAATCGAATCCATTGGGATGCTTCAACCCTGCACTGTAATGACACAATTTAATTTTTCTGTTTTGGATTCCCAAATGTCCGGCACACGGTTCTGCCGTCCGTACCTCTGCGGCCAGCGTGCCGTGCTGAGGATGAAAGGCCAGCCGTTCTGGAACGGTCGTGCTGACAGTCCGGTTTCAGGGGGAATCATCCTCCCTCTGTCATTCTGTGCTTGTTATTATGAGGAGGGGGATGATCTGTTGCGTAGCACCGGGGAAGAGACCTAGAAAAAACATGGGGGTTGTGAACTTCTGGCCGGAGAGAAACGTCCCAGCCATATAAATAAAAAAGAAGACGAAATGAACAACAGAGTGATATTTTTATACTAGCTCTCTCCCTTCTGGTGCCATCTGGGCTGGACTACAAATGCCATCATCCTCAGCCACATTTCCGGTTCCCTATGACGTGAAGTGCCTTCGTGTCCAGAAACAAGTTGTACCGGGTCGATCTTATCTCGCAGAAATATGCAGCCGCCCCACCTTGTTGACTTTCAAAATAACTTGTAAAGACTGCATCTGACTATTTTTTGTTTCGTTCCTGCTGGCTAGTGGGTTCCAGACCCCCCTCCTCCCCCATGTGTGGAAAAAAGATGTATTATTTGTTTCCACTTGCCAAAAAGAAAATCATCAACAACTAAAACACTGAGGCACTCAAAGGGAAAAAAAAGAATATAACAACTTTCCTGGAAATAATTGCTACTGGAACTTTGTAAACATGTTTTTTTCAGCACATGTATAAATAAACTTTGTGACTTTATACAGTTGATGCAAAAAAGAATAAAATCGTGGCGATGGAAGGACGGCACAACGTTAAAGTTGACCGTAGGGAAACTGAAACGGAGATTTTTGTATACCTTGGTTTAATCATCAATCCAAAGGGAGACTGCTGCTAAGAAATCGGAAAAAAAAATAGGAGGGCAGCGATGAAGGAACTAGAAAAGATCATCAAATGTAAGGTCCTTGATGACTGAGTCCAAGATCATCCGCACGCTTGTATTTCTGATCATCGTGGACGGGTGTGAAAGCTGGAACTGAAACGGAGATTTTTGTATACCTTGGTTTAATCATCAATCCAAAGGGAGACTGCTGCTAAGAAATCGGAAAAAAAAATAGGAGGGCAGCGATGAAGGAACTAGAAAAGATCATCAAATGTAAGGTCCTTGATGACTGAGTCCAAGATCATCCGCACGCTTGTATTTCTGATCATCGTGGACGGGTGTGAAAGCTGGACAGGGAAGAAAGCTGATGGGGGAAAATTGATCTATTTAAAATGCAGTGCGGGAGGAGAGATTTAGGGATACCCTTGACATAGAAGTAGGTCCTAGAGCAGATAGAGCCTGAACTCTCTCTCAAGGTATACAAAATGTTGGAGCTGAAACTGTCCGACTTTGGCCACATCATGAGAAGGCAGGAATCTCTGGAAAAGACAATAATGCTAGGAGAAGCTGAAGGCAGCAGGAAAAGAGGAAGACCCAATACGAGATGGACAGACTCCCGAAAGGAAACCACAAGCCTCCGCTTACAAGGGCTGAGCGGGGAAGTTGGGGATTGGAAATTTTGGAAAGTACTTCTTCGTAGGGTCGTCCCTGAGTGGGAGGCCACTTGACGACCCATCATAACAACCGTTACACTCGCCCTTCTTAAACGAGGCCCATTTATTTCATGCGGGCCGAACGTTCTGCTTCGTGGACAAAAGGCACCTTGTAGCAATGGGAGATCAGGCCAACCTCATGTTTGGGCAGCTTCTCAAATAAATACATCAATGCCTTCTTTGTTTGGCCCTGCGCAATGCAAGAGGTGCTTTGGAAAAAAACTGGTGAGTCCCCGGGAAAAAAAAAAGCATTTTGGAAGGTGGGGAGAAATCCTCTGAAATGATAGGCGGAGATGTTGGAAACAGAAAAGTAGGAGAGAAGGGGATTTGTGCAGGAATAGTACATGTGGTTGCCGTAGTCATCCCTGTCGCAAAACAAAAATCTGAGCTCGCCCTTTGCTCTTGAACCTCCCTGGAGATGTAATTAACTCAACAGGATTCCAGCCGCTGTGTTTGGGCCGCCAGAGGTAATCCAGAAAATGCACAGGTTGGATCAGAGTTTGAACCGAAGCGACCAGACTTGAATGTTTCTGCGTGACAAAAAAGGGCTGGTGGGCAGGAGAATCGGGAGTGAATTAGGAGACATTGGCTTTACAAAAGACCTGCCGGTGGGACATTAGTCAGAATGGCTCCAACTCCCCTGCCTGGAGGTTTTGATTTTTCCAAGGGGGGCTAAAAAGGAAGGTCCTAAGAAATCGGGTCACTTGGACATTGGCTACTGGGTTTGCCCTGAAAAGTTGAAATTCAAAGCAAAACCAAAAGAGTGGAAGTCAAAACTTTATTTTGGAAGTTCCTCGGGGCAGAGGTTGGTCGGCTGAGAGAGAGAGAGAGCCAAGAGCGATACGTCTGGTCTCGATCCAGAAAAGGTGAGCCAGAAAAGGCGAGCCACCTGGGCGCATCCTCCCTCTTCCCTCCTGCGCTCCCAGGCTTGAAGGCCACCTCGCCCAGTCTCCGCCCCGCGGTGCCTCCAGTTGAGGCTGGGCTTTCTCGGGCAGCTCCACCCCTGGACAGGAAGCCCCGCCGACATCCGAGTTGCAGCTGCATCCGCAACAGGCAGAGACGACGGCTTAAGTCACCCGATCCGAGCGCTTCCTCCGAGAGCGCACCGGGGGACCCTTTCTTTCCAAAAGGAACGGCGCGTTTCTTTCCTTCTCTTCTAGGTAGGTTGTGGGGTGCGCGCAACGTGGGCCAGGAACGAGAAAGGAACGGGGGGAAGGGGGCCGGAGAAGAAGAAGAAGAAGAAAGAGGCTGGTGTGTTTCCTCGGAAGTCAATCCGATACTTTGTAAAAGGGGGAAGCTTTACGCTCAAGGACGCGGCGGCCGAGAACCGCAGCCTCGGTAAAAGAAAAGAAAAAAACGAATCGCAGCCTCGATAAAGGGGAAGAAGAAGCAAAAAAGAGGCAAACTTGAGCGGGCAAAAGGTGAAGTTTTCACGCAAACATGGAAAAATTAAGGAAGGGGGGGAGGGGATAAGGAAGGAGTGATGGAGGTAACGAAGTTTGCCGAAAAGCAACGAAGGGGAACGAAGAAGACAAAGCTCGGAAGGAAAAACAAAAAGGGAAAAGGCGGATGGGTGGATAGGAAGAGAGACAATGAGACATGGAGGTGCATTTCGGGGGCCTGGAAGTCTTATGGGGCTCCTTTTTTGCACCCCCTCTTTTTTTGGGGGGGGGCGGGCAGGAGATAAAGTCCACAGCGCAAAGAGACGTTCAGGGAATGCGTTGTGTAAGTTCAGTTTGTAAAATGTATAAATGTTTTCCTGCTCTCCCTGTATGGAGAGTCCAGGGTAGATTGGAGGAAGGAAAGGGGTCGCCCCCCCCTTTTTTGGCAAGAGATGGGGGGATCTTCGTTCCCCCCTTTGCTCCAGTCTTTTTTTGGGGGGCGCTTCAAGGGCTTTGGTGTGTTGCTCTTTCTAGAAATGCAAACTTCCTTTCTTTAAAGTAAACAAACTTTAATCTGCAATAAGTTAATATATTTATTGGAGTCCAGTGCGTTGAGGGTGTTTTTTTTCTTCCAGAGCGTCCCTGTGCCCTGCTTTTTGGTTTCTGAAGGGAGGGAGGAAAGATAACCAACAAAGGGGATTTTTTGGGGGGGGGGATCTTGAAGTGTGTGCAGAATTTTTTGTTTGTTGAGTTGTGATAAGTCTGGACTCGGATTGTTTTTAAATCAAAAAGAGTTTGGTGATTTTAGCGCCACCCTCTCTTCCCCAGAAACCAAACTTGGGCCAGTCTCTTTTGGGGACTCCGGGACCCAGAATCCACTACTTGGCAGGGATTCTGGGAGTTGGGAGTCCCCACCTGAAAAACAAAGTTTTCATAACTTTGCCTTGGAAATAAATCTTTAGAGGAAAGATTGGAGGTTTGGAAATGTGCTCTCGCGTGCAGGCTTCTGGCCAGAAAGATTGTGGAAATGAAGAAAACACAATGCATTTGTGTACTGGTATTAAAGATTTTTTAAATGCGGGGTTTTCTTTCTTGTGTGGATGGTGTTTTCTCTGCTGTGAGCAGGATGGGGAACTCAAAGGGCAACGATAAAAGCAGAAACCTCAAAGCATGACACTTCCTCCCAGTAGAAATAGAAAGCTTGCCTTTCTGTTTTATGGCTGTGCTTTTAAGTCCCTGCCGGAGCTGCAAAATTTGGTCTTTTCTCCGCCTTGGAAGGTAAATTTCAGGAGACTGCCTCGGTTGAATTTCTGCCTGCAAAGAGCTCTACCTGCAGCCTGCACCTCTGGGCCTGTGCTCCACCCCTATCCGACACGGTGTGGGGTTGTGGTTTCGCCCATTTTATTTCGACAAGTCTGGGCAAGGCGGTTAAAGCCACGATGAGAGGATGACGGGAGTAGAAACACAGGAAGCGGCTTTGTGCGAACTCGGTATTGGCTGCACTCCTCGTTCCTGGTTTCAGGCCGAACTCTTTCCTAGCTTGTTGGCTGTCACAACATCGTTTCAGTGTTCAGTTTGAGTTTCTTAGAGAGAAACTGGGAGACAAATACGTCCCAAAATGTTGCAGCCCTATTCAACCCCGTCTGAAGCTTCCAGATAGTCTTCAAGGGCAAACCCGTGGGCAGTCCATGGTAGTAATCAAGTTTGGATGCGTCCAGTGTGTCTGATATTTGTGACACGGCTGCCTCTCGGTATAAGAACCATGAGTCGGTCAGTATATTAATCTTGTTATTTTTTTTTTAAAAGTCTGTAAGGCATAAAGAAAATTTGGAGAAGAGAGTCGCAGGGGACTTTAATAATTTCATTTTAATGTTTTTAAGAAGTGTAGTTGAACATCTTTTGGAGTCTCAAGGGGTATTCGGTGTGGGCTGCTCTCCCAGAGGCATAACGGCATCCGTCTTAATTGCCAGGGGGAACGATCTTGTGATGATGGCTTGTTTGATTAATTGCCATTAAATCATAGAGAATCGGGCCTTTGATGAATCGTGTGCAGGAGTGATTGGTACTGATTTTATTACCGTTTTTAACGTAACATTTGTTTAATTCTTTTTTAAAAATATTTGCGTGTACCTACCGTTTTTAGCGTCGACGTATTGTGTTTTCCACGATGTCAGCTGCTTTGGCTTCTTTTGGGGGAGAAAGGCGGGATAAAAATATTTTAAATAAATAACAAATAACAATAAGAGTGAGCTCCATTAAGATGGGCTGGTTTGACATTTAGAGGAGGCTGGCCTGGAATTAATTAATTTTATTAGACTTCTACCCTGCCCATCTAGACCAAAGATCTACTCTGGAAATAATCTTGAGCAGACGAATAAGAAAAAAAAATCTTTCTCTCTCTGCCTGAAAAAAGCCGTAAGCCTATTTCCACAAGCAGGCAGCACAATCGAAGAGTAAGATTCAGACCGGCCAGTCCTGGATTCGAATCCTTCCACTTCCCCGGGTGAATTCAAGCGTGAGCATAGAATCACAGCATGGGAGAAATGGAAGGGGAGGGGGTCCCTAAAGGGTCATCAAGTCCAGCCCCCTGCTTGGGCGGAAATTCCACAGGTAAAGCGGTCCCCAGCAGGTGACCGACCAACCTCTGCTTGAAAATCTCCCAGGGAAAAAGTGTCCCCTGCCCTCCGAGGCCGTCAGTTCAGTGGTTGAGTAAGCAGCCCCTGCAATATTTGAAATTTTGTTTGGTTTATTTTATTTTACGGCCTTTGAGGCGATGCCAAAACAAAGCGGGAGAAAAAAAACACAAAACCAATAAACTCCGCCAGAAGCGGTCAGAGGTGAATTGCCCTCTTTCCCTTCTGTTTATTTGTCAGAGAGAGAGAGGCCGTCTGTGTGTGTTTTAAAAAGCGGCTTGAAATAGTTCTTGTATTCAGTCTATTCAGTTCTGTTTGTGTATTTAAGCTTGTTTTTCTACTACATTGTTTGAATACTGCTTCTCTCTGTCGCTCTCGGTCTCCTCTGAAATGGTTCTGCCAGAGAAATGCACACATATTTTATAAATCAGCATTGCTGTTTACCTGAGGGGAGTAGTGTTCGGGTTTATGCAGCTCCTTGTCTCTCTCTCTCTCGGAAAAAAAGTCCAGAACTTGAGTTACTTTTCTGTTCTACAAGTTCGTAGAATCCCGGAGTCGGAAGGGGGCCTCAAAGGCCATCCAGTCCAACCCCGTGTAATGCAGGAATCCCATCCCAAGCAGATCTGACGGAGGGTGGTCCCGTTTTCTCTTGAAGCCCCCCAGCGTTGGAGCACCTCCTCTCGAGATCAGCAGGTCCATTGTCGTACTCCTCGTAACAGTTAAGAAGTTTTTCCCGACCTTCAGCCAAAGTCTCTCGTCCTGTCGCTTGAGCCCGTGATGATGTATCCTGCGCTCAGGGAGGATGGAGAACAGATCCTGCCCCCTCCTCTGTATTAGACAGCCAGGACCTCCGAGAGATGATGCTGATTTTGCAATTCCCGGAGTTGCCGTACACACAAAAAAGGGGTCGTTTTCCCCATAACTGTTTGGGAGCAGCTGACCTACGCGGGACAACGTGATGTATGAATGTGAAAAGCTGGACCATGAAAGATGCCAATGGGGTGGTTTATGAGAGCCTCCGGGACGATGTGATGTATGAATGTGAAACGCTGGACCATGAAAGATGCCAATGGGGTGGGGGTGGAACACATTCACTGGAGCAGAGATTTACGGATGCCGCGGACCAAGGAAAGACCATCAAAGGGTCAAATTGAGCCTGGACTGTCTTTTGCGGGTTGCCTGGTGGAGGAGGAAGCGTCAGGCGAAGCCGATGGGAAGAGAGATTCGAGTAACTGTTGCGTCTGCCGGGGAGAGGTGCCGTTTTGCAGGTTTTGGGGTCCACCCAGACAGAGACCGAACTCCCTGAGCTGTTTATTCAGGCAGCTAGGGACGTCTAGCACTTCATTAACTGATTTTAACAATAAAAGTTGCAGGAAACAAATTTGTCTTAGACTTGAGGGATTCTCTGAGTAATCAGTGAATCAAGTGCTAGTAACTTCTAGCATTTGCTTCCTGAAAGTTTTATTTCAAAATAATAATTAAAACTTCTGTTTTCCGCAGAGCACTGATAATCTTGGGAATGTGATGCAGAAAAATTTCACTTATTGGGGTCCTTCCTCCCTTCCTCTCTTTCCTTCATTCCTCTCCTCCCTCCCTTCCTTCCTCTCTTCCATCCTTCCTCCCTCCCTCCCTTCCTCTCCTTCCTCCCTTCCATCCTTCCTCTCCTCCTCCCATCCTTCCTTCCTCTCCTCCTCCCTTCCATCCTTCCTTCCTCTCTTCCTTCCTTCCATCCATCCTTCCTCTCCTTCTTCCCTTCCATCCATCCATCCATCCATCCATCCATCCATCCATCCATCCATCCATCCATCCATCCATAAATCCATCCATCCATCCATCCATCCATCCATCCATCCATCCATCCATCCATCCATCCATCCATCCATCCATCCATCCATCCATCCATCGACTAATACATCTATTTGTCTGTCTGTCTGTCTGTCTGTTTGTCTATCCTTCCTCTCTTCCTTCCTTTCTTCCTTCCATCCTTCCTCTCCTCCTCACATCCTTCCTTCCTTCCTCCCTTCCATCCTTCCTCTCCTCCTTCCTTCCTCCCTCCCTCCCTTCCATCCATCCCTTCCTTGCTTGCTCCCTCCCTTCTCCCCTCCTCCCTTCCATCCTTCCTCCTCCTCACTCAGGGCCTCAATTAAAGGAGGTGGCCGGGGAGCCTGTTTTGTGTCACTATCATCCTCATGAGACCACTTAAGCTTCGTTTCTTTCCTTTTGTTGTTATGAGAAGGACTGGAGTTTGTCACACTGACAGCGGAGCCCTTACTATTGCTTCTGATGTCATGGCAAAGATTTGCGGCAGAATGGAGGAGGAGAGGGGCTCTGTGGGTGTTGGAAGTGACCCTAAGATCAGACCGAGTCATTGCTTTTGCCTCGTCATGGGGCTGGTTCGTGTCTTGTTCAAGAATGATTTCCCAGACAAACCTCTGGCGAACCTCCCTTGAGATTGCAATGCCAAGAGAGACTGTGGGGTGCAGTGGTTACACGGCTGGTGTGCAAGCCTGGGAGAGCATTTATTTATATACAATATTTTTACCCTGCCTTTTCCTTGAAAAAGGACCTAAGGTGCCTTACCTCATTAAAAGTCCATTTTTAAAGCTAAATACAGTACATGTACAAACACTAAAAAGGATCAAATACCACACTAAAAGATGGTAAACATAAGGAACACCAAAACACATTCTAAGCAGTAACATAAACGAATCCATGGAAAAACCCCACTCAAGCAGACAAAGGGAGTTTGCCTGCTTGCAGAAGGACAGCAAAGATGGGTCCAGCCTGGCCTCCAGTGGGAGGGAGTTCCATAGTCTCTGGGAGCAGCCAGAGAGAAGGCCCTCTCCCGTGTGGGTGGTGGGACCGATAGAAAGGCCTCCTGTGATGCTCTTAAGACCCGAGCCGGCTCATAAAGGGAGACACACTCCTTGAAACGGCTTGGATTAAAAAACAAGATTAAAACCAGCACTTTAAATTGTGTCCGGTAACGGATTGGCCGCCAATGGATCTGCTCTAAAAGGGGGGAGGGATCATGTGGTCCCTGCAACCAGCCCCATTCAGCCATCTGGCTGCTGCGTTTTGAACTGGCGGATCGGCCGACAGTGGATCTGCTCTAAAGGGGGGGATCATGTGGTCCCTGTAACCAGCCCCAATTAGCCATCTGGCTGCTGCGTTTTGAACTGGCTGACGTTTCCGGACACTCTCCAAAGGCAGCCCCACGTAGAGCGCATTGCAGTCGTCCAGCCAGGATGTAAAACTTAAGGCGTGTGTCAACTGTGGCCGAATCAAACCTGTCCAGAAATGAGCATAGCCGTCAGTGTCAGCCGGGAGAAGAACGGGAGGGCCCCGCGTTCCACCTTGAGCTCCTTGAAGGAAAGCAGATCGTCCGTGTAAGAAATGATATATATATGTTTAAAAATTGTTTGTGAAGAAGAGCATTCAGCTCCTGTCACGCTAGCATGAGCCACTAAATTAATTGCTAGATGAGGCATCGAAATCTCTTGTTCTGAATTACTTTGTGGGGGACGTGTCAGTGAACTGGAAGAATAACGCAAACGTGTGAGCAAGGCATTAACACTCGTGTGGGTTGTTTAATCCATGGCAAAAAAACACACATGCATATATTCATTTTTTTCTCTACAGGATAAGAAAAGATCTATTGAATGAGGAAGGGTGCATTAAAGTATCTTCAGAGGTGACTCATTTGCCAATGCAAAACAGGACGGTCGCTTTTTGCCTTGGAAACCGCTAGCTAGGGTGGGGAATACAACCCCCTCCATCCTCTCTGTGATGCTGCCTGTGGCTGATGGAGGTTGTAGTCCAGGCACCTCTAGAGGAAGGGCACGTTCCCCCAGTCATGAAATGATGAGAAAAACAAGCGTTGTCTAAAATTATCTGCCCTGTAAAGAGGGATAGCAGGTATTTCTCCCGAAGGAGTGAACAGGAAGCAACGGCTGTTGTTTTCTTGAACCAAAATCTGGTTTTATTCGCGCACGAGGGACTACTGAGGGCTACTCTGTAGATGATTTGCGTCTTCTTTTAAAAACAAGGTCTTGATTCCCGACAGGAGCTGTTTTTTGGGGCCGGCCATGTCTTCGGAAGCCTCTTCCGCTCCCGAGCGGTCCCCTTCTCCGGGCGCTCTCCGGCTCCCGGAAGGCCGCCGGCCGCGGGAACGTTCGCCGTCCCCGATCCGAGGCTATCTCATCCCCAGCCCGCTTCCCACGCGGAGGACGCGCACCTACTCAGCGTGAGTACACAGGGGAGCTGATGGGATGGTGTCCAGACCGGATGGTGGCTGGCGTGCCCTCTTGTCCTTCTGGTGACCTCGGGGGGGCATTATGACCACTGGCCCGTTCCAGCGACTCATCAAGGACCCCGGTTGGGTCACAATCGGTGCTCAGAGCATTAGCTCAGAAGTGAGGGAGGTGGTTGTCGGGAAGGGAGGGAGGCTGGAGAGGACATGGGAGTAGAACGGCCTCTGGCGTCTCCCTCTCATGGTCTCTTAAAAGCTGGCCCACCCTCCTGGCGAAAGCTGGGTCGGCTTCTCCATGGCAGCAGAACAACTTCGGACCAGTACGTTGAGGTGAGGATGCGAGCAAAGGCCCTCCTATTCACCAGATGGGTTGAGACCAAACATGGGGACGAATAAACAAGAAATTGTGATATTCGTAAAATATCGCTGATTCGTGGGATATTCGTCCCGTTGTATTCGTCAGGTTCCGGAAACCACGACGAATACGAAGGGATGAGTATTTACCAATTTTTTATTTGTCCCTTTGTGCAGGCTGGCTGCGGGAACAGAAACCGGAGCCAGCCTCCTCCTCAATGCCGTGCCCATCAGCGGTTCAGTGGGACATTGTGTTTTAATGACAAACCGACGATAATTCGTTGAGTCGTCGCTAAAATCCGGAGCTTCATTGATTCGTCAACTTTGAAGGATCATGATGAAGCATCGTTTTTTTCACCAATTCTTCTCCAGCACTTGTTAAAACTGCATTTGTGAGCTGTGCTTCTGCCCTTTACAACCATAAAAGTATTTTCCTGGTTCTAGAAGCCTTCAGGAATAGCTACAGCAGGACCCCCCCTATTCCACAGGGGACGCCTTCCAAACCTCCCCCCAAAGATGGTAAAAAACAAAATATATACTTACTTTGGGATTTTAAAAATATTTTAAATATTTTCCAGCTGTGGACGAGTGTTTCAGCAGATATCGATCCCGCAGATACGGGGGTCTTGCTGAATTTTTTTAATTTTTAGGGGTCAGCTCTCTTGAGGTGCTGAAAAATGGAACTGAAAGTGGATATCCATCACTTCCAAGTCTCTTTCACACCCGTTTTCTAGTGCTCAGAGGGGTGATAATACCTCAGTGGACTAGGGAGTGGCTGTGGAGCCAGAGGTGGGGAGTTCGATTCCCCCACGGGGGCTCCTTGAACAGGGGCTGGACTGGATGAACCCATGGGGGCCCTTCTATCTGTGCAGTTCTAAGATTATAAGATGCTGCCTATGGAGTCAGGGGCGCGGCGGGGGAAGAGCGGCTCCCTCTGAATCCGTGATCCCCAAATTTAATTCTTTTCTTGGCTTCTGAACAGTCTTGGTTTTATTCTCTGACGCAGGACGGCCAGAGCCTCTGAAGGACCCACCCACAGGGGGGTCTGTAAGTTCTTCTGCCGCTCCAAGGGCCACGGATTCATCACCCCGATGGACGGCGGTCCGGACATCTTTGTGCACATTTCGGAGTAAGTACTGCCGGGAGGGACTCGAGTTCGAATCACCCCCCATGGGACAGCTTTTCCTGAACCTGGAATAATATACAGGAAGGACAAGCAGGCTTAGCAGATGAGTCCTCCAACGAAAGTGGGCTTTTCGAACCTGGCAAAGCTGGTAAGGGGAGGATGGAGGTTGTAGTCAGTATATCTAAAGGCCTCGAGGCTGGGGAAGGGCTGGACTCCAGTTTTAATGTATCGGGCGAGTTGAAATCCAAAGCAGAGTACTGAGTTTAATCAATGGGACTAGTGTTCTCAGGGGTAGCTCTTAGGAATCATCATCATCATAGAATGGGGGGGCTGGAAGGGACCCTATGGGGTCATCCAGTCCAGCCCCTGTCCAGGAGGCCCCGTGGAGGAATCGAATCTCCGGCTCTGCAACCAGAGGCTTAAACCACAGAGCTAGTCAGCAGTGACCGTGCCTTACTTTACACCTCCTGCCTATGCTCCAGCTGTTTTGTTGTCAACCTATCACTGGCGCCACCTGCTTTATGTGTGAAATGTTTTTAACTTCCTAGTTGTGTTATTTGGGTATTTGTAGTTGAACACTTTTTGTTTTATTTGACCATTGTAAATTGCTGAAAATACCGCATTGCACTAATGGGATGGTATATAAATTTAATACGTAAATAAAACGACCCCTGTATCCACAGGATCAGTATCTGCTGATTCATTTATCCGTGGTCTAAAATATTAAAAGGAAAATCCTGGAAATATATACCGTATTTTTCCATGTATAAGAATATACTTTTGTCTAAAATCTTTAGACTAAAAATTGAGGGTTGTCTTTTACACAGAAGTAAGCTGAGGAGAGAACAAAAACAAGTGGAGGGGAAAGCAGGGATCAAAGCGATCCTGCAGTGCTTTGATCCCCTTTCCCCTACACTTGCTAAGCCCCACTTAGATTTCTTAATTTTGGATTAGAAAAGTGGGCGGCGTCTTATACATGGAAAGATACGGTATTTCTAAAGATGAAGTTACCAGAACTGGCCACTGGAGGGAGCCAGAGACCATGCCATGTATAACATTGGCTAGAGAAATATAATTCTATGGTGTCATTAACAGAACTGGCCATTTGAGGGAGCCAGAGACTATGCCGTTTATAGCGTTCGCTATTAAAATTGTGTTTGCTATTATCCGCGGTTTTCAGCATCCACAGAGGATGATTGGATCTGATCTGTGGTTACAGGGATTCCTACCTTAAATAAATCTTCTGGAATGGTTCTACAGTGCATTTAAAATTAATATCTTTTTGTTTTGCTTTCCTCTTACAGCATTGAAGGTGAATACGTCCCGGTGGCTGGCGATGAGGTGACTTACAAAGTGTGCACCATTCCGCCGAAGAATGAGAAGCTGCAAGCCGTGGAGGTGGTGATCACCCACCTGGCTCCAGGGACGAAGCACGAGACGTGGTCGGGACATGTGATCAGCTCCTAGGGGGATTCGTTCTCGCTGCTGCCTGAACCCGAGGAGGTCTCGTCCAACCGCAGAGATGGACTTTGAAGTCCGGATGGAATTTTCTGCCTTGTTGAGTGAGGTGAAACGACGTTGTAACAGGAGGGTCCGAAAGTGGCCAGGTTTAACTCCCCCCCCCTTTTTAAATGAAAATTAAAAGAATTGAAAACACAATGCCTTAAAGATGGGCAGATAAGACAGTTAGTTACCTCTGGCTTTAGACCCTTCGGCTTTTCCACTAGCGTTGATTTCCTCCGTGGCCTTAGAAAGACCAAAAAAACACACCTTAAAGCGACACATTTCCTTCTAAGGTGGAAGAGAGGCTTTGATACCTAAAGAATTATTTTTTTTCCCTTTAAGGGTGTCGCAAAATAACAGTTCGTGCAATTCGCAATTGGATGCAAGGAATTGGGTCCTTTCACACCAGAAATTTGTGGGTGTCGGAACAAGCGACACAGGTTTTCTAGTTGGTTGTGCGCATCCAAAGCAGGAATTCAAGACCGGATTTTTATCCAAAAGCTGATGGGCCTCCTCTTTGGGCTTTCTTTGACTCTCAGACATATATATATATTTTTCTGAGTGTCTTCTAAGGTTCTAGCCACAAGGGCCACGCAGCAGAGAGAATTCCCAGCAAGAGGGATGTTTTATTTGTGTTTGATGTTTTTATTTCCACCAGATTGTAAAAAAAGAAAAGGAAGTGAGGGGGAAGAGAATGGGGTTTTCTCCAACTTTGCAGCCTGAGTTTAGTGCTTTGCCAAGATTTGGGCTGAAGGAGACAAGCCCGATGTTGACTTAAAATAAAAATAAAATACAAAATCACTGTGATTTTTTTTTCTCCTTCACACTTGTGCATAATTCAACCAAATTTTTCTCCTTCTGGGCCCTCGGAAAAGGGGGTCAAGTTCCTTTTTAATTGAATTTTTTTTTTCATATGCATACATTCACCCTATCATAGAATAGTAAAGTTGGAAGGGGCCCTCTAAGGTCATCCAGTCCAACCCCCTGCTCAATGCAGGAATCTAAAGCAAAACATAACTGCCAGGTGGTTGTCTAAGTTTTTCTTGAAGGCCTTCACCATTGGAGCGCTCCCCACTTCTCATGAATTCCATTGTCGTACTGCTCTAACAGTTAGGAAGTTTTTCTTGATATTCAGTTAAAATCTGGCTTCCTGTAACTTGAGCCCATTGTTGTGTGTCCTGCACTCCAGGATGATTGAGAACAGATCCTGTATTATATGTTAGTGCAATACATTTAGTGTCACCCTATGAATTATTTTACTTTCCAGTAGCTCTCTTCCTCACTTCATGCTCACAACGACCCCTGCAGCCTTGACGTACAGCCGCCCCGTGAGTTCTTGCTTTTTTGAAGCCAGAACGGGGCGATGCATTTTGTTGGCCCACTAAAAATCAAACCAACCGCTAGCTTTCGTCGAGAACGGGCCACGTCTTCAGGCTTAGCGCAACCTCTTTGTGGACCGTGCGGAGAAACGGTAGACAAAAGAGTCCCAAAAATGGACTATACCCATCTGTGAGAGTTGATGTCAGCCCTCTCGAGGTTGGAGTCTCGAGCCTTTTTGCTGCGTGGTTGGGAATTTTTAACACCCCTCTCCAAGGACCGAAAGGCTGCCAATTATTCTGTGATGCCTTCTCCCCTCCCGTCGCCTGCTTTAGAAACGGCTGTTTCATTTCTGGGCGGTTGGTCTCGTTTCCCACGCTCTTCAAGCCCCGAAAAGCTTCCCAAAGGAGCTTAGACCCACTCAGGGTTTGGGGGGCAGCCCCAGTGAACAAGCATCCAAACTTGGGCAGGAAAAAGAAAACCCACACCAAGCACAGGACAGCTAAGAGGGAAAGTGTCGTGGTGGCGATTCTTTGGATCAGATGGAGGGGACCGTAGCCATTTAAGATCCGATGGTCCTGGCTTCGCACCATCTCTCGTCTCCATTTAGACTGGCGTCTGCTTTGCTGGCCTCGGCTTCGTTCTACGGCCGCTTCTGGTTGTAAGGCGAGTTTCGGCTTCCCCGAAGAGGCTGGGAAGTACCGTGTAATGAGAAGATCACACAGAGGGTTCTGTGGGTGTGTCTGTCTCCTTGTTCTGGGGCTGGGAAAAGCCGTCGGGTGGGGGTGGGGAGCCGCACAGAAAGCCTTGGCAGGACTCCCAGGCTGTGTTGTGCAGGCTTAAGAATTCCCACGCTGGGCATGCAAGCTGTGGTTGAAAGTCTGTTACGAAGCATGGCGTAAGTCCAGCTGGCAGCTCATTTTAGAGGGTTGGATCCAACCTTTGGCGCAGGCAGTCCGGTCGGTGGAAAAGGGTCTCTTTGTCTCTCCAAAGCATTTTTGCCAGACACCCCCCCCCAAAATGCTCAGAGTTTATCAGACATACATGTATGCTCCAGAGTTTTGAATTTCCAGTTAAATTGCTCTAGCTGTGCAGCAGGCGTGCAGAGATTCACAGAATCGCTTCGCGTTACCCAGACCGTCCACCCGTATTTCTCATCAACTGGCACTTACAGTCCCAGTAACTCACTCTGAGGCATTAGTAAGGGAAAGAACAAGAGATTTTGTGACTTAAAATTAAACAGATCAAACTGCCAACTTGACAGACCTGACTGCTTTCAGCAACTTCAAGACTCAAGAGTGGGGGGGGGGGGGGGGNAGAGAGAGGGAATGGAAATGTCTTACAGGATTATTCCATCTGTCTTTACAAATTAGCACTATCAATGGAAAGACTGATATCCCCTCTCTTTCCAGCCATCAAGTTTGTGATTTCATCTGACTTGTCTGGCTTCGGCAGCTCTTGACCACAACCAGTCACAGGGACTAGAAACCTTAAAATCAGAACTAGAGATGGGTACGAATTGATGGTTTGGTGCTTTGTGCAGGTTTGTTTATCAGCCCAATAAGGTGTTTGTTGCCTTGCCTCCTCTGATGAGCACCCATGCGGTCAGCTGCTGGAGGAGGCAGAGCAGGGAGGCCAGGCCACTGCCTCCGAGTGGCCGCCCTCCGGAAGAGGCGGGGCTTCAAAGCGCCAAACACATATTCGGCCGATAAACAAACTGCCACAAATCGCCCAATTGGCGGCTCATGGCTGACTCTTAACAAAAGTAGGGAAAGCCTACTGATTTAATTCATCTATTTAAAATACCCTAGTCCACATTTCTTCCAAAAAAGCATCCAACCGCAAACATAAGTTTGTTATTCAAGATCTCCTTGGCTTGTACAGAATCACTGCCTTACGCTGTCCTTAGAAACTGCTTAACGCTGGTAAAAGGAAGGATGTTTTATGTATTCGCGAAGGATGCTTTCCTTGTTGAAGCAAGGGTCCTGAAAAACAACGGGTTTTTCAATGCGGTCACCACCTTAGTCCGCTTTAGCGTGTGTAAAGGGAATAAAAGCAACAGATTATTTTCAATGTGAGATGCAAGGATTAGGGTTCACTGAGGACCCTAATCCTTGCATCTCACATTGCAAGGATCCGGTGGTCGAATCATGGTAGGAATCTCACACTGCGATGGATCTGCTCTGAGGTCAGCACTCCCTTGAGAAATAAGAGGAAAACAAGGGGTTATGACTGCTTTCCAAATAAGAGATGGGGCCATCCTGCTCACCAATGCCCTTTGTACAGGGAAAAACAGGATCGCCGTCACAGATCTGCAATCTCTTAAGGCCAGCTGAGTGGATTTCTGCTCTTCCCCCCCACAGCTTTATGGCTTGCATTTATAGCCACAGCCCTCAAAAGCAGAATGCTAGGTATGTGAAAGCTTGTCTTCACCCCTGGGGCCGGATCATACCATCTGAAGAAACATTTTGGCATATATACACTCTGTTCACTTTGGTTAGTGTATTGATTAATGTGCCGGATCATCCCATCTGAAGAAACATTTTTCCTTTGGCCCTTGCAAACGTAGGGTTTGAAATGTAGCCTTCTCTGGTCTTCAGAAACTTCAAGGAATGATGTGGATGAGACGTAACAACTGGCTAAACACATTTGAATGGTAAGTAAGTATATATGTGTATGGATGTGCATAGCTACGTATCAAGGCATATATACACTTTGTTCACTTTGGTTAGTGTATTGATTAATGTATATAGATAATAGTGAATGCTACATACAGTATGGTCTCTGGCTCCATCTAGTGGCCAGTTCTGGTAACTACATTATAGAAATGCCTATTTCTGAGATTTTTCTTTTAATACTTTACATTGGGAACACCACTGTATATAGATATTAGTGAATGCTATATACAGCATGGTCTCTTGCTCCATCTAGTGGCTAGTTCTGGTAACTACATAGAAATGCCTATTTCTGAGATTTTTCTTTTAATACTTTTCATATTTTCAGACCACCTTGCCAAGGAGCAGCACTTTGCCACCAAAGGCTTAGGCGATTTCCCTTATTCAGGCATAGATCAGCAAGATCCTTCTGGCTTTTAACTGTTGGTACAAACATCCCCTCGGATAATTTTAGTTTTGGGAAAGACAGGAAGCGAACAGGGTGAGCTCTTCATGCGAGGCGAGGGATTTTTCTACAGTAAGTGACCTGCCTCTCCCAGGTGAGTCCTCTATTCTAACCAGAGACTGGAGGAAGTCTTCTGAGGGACTACAACTCGAAACATGCTGACTGGGGCTTCTGGGAGTTGTAGTCCATCAAAAGCGGACGGGGGGGAAGAGATTCTTCAACGCTTTCACCTTAATGGGCTACAATATCTGGAGTTGTAGTCCATCAAAAGCGGGGTGGGGGGGAGAGACTCTTCAAAGCTTTCACCTTAATGGGCTACAATATCTGGCAAAGGTTTATTTCCTTTCTGCCATTACCAAATTTCAAGGGTAGCCTTGAAGATTCCTCGCTCTAACCTCTGATCTTCTTCAGACAGGCTGCAGAGAAGGCGTTAACAGACATTTAAGGAAAGACAGAGAAGAAGTTGTCTGGAAAAGCAAAAATTTACTCATAAAATGTAATTTGTCTACACGTGCCCCGACCCAACAGCGTACGAGCTTTGCAGCTGACAGAAATTCTACTGTAGATGGAGCAATTTCACCAGTGTTGCCTCACTGGAACAAACGCCTCCTGAGGTCCAGAGAAAATGTAAGGCTTCCTTACGAGGATTCGGACGGTGGCGCGATAAACGGATCATAAACCTACCCAACTGACATAGCTCAGAGCAGTGGTTCCAAAAAGCGGTCGTTGGGGGCAAAGAAAGGTTGAGAGGAAAATACGGCAAGGGGAGCTGATTTTAGCACAGATGGATGGGATTCGGGATTTGCTGCTAAGCCTGCCATTCCAGGGACTACATCTCCCATAAGCGCCTGTGGTTCCCACCCACGGACACCTTTATAGGTTCCATGCAGAAGTGCCTGAACAACCTGGTGAGCATGGCCACCTTATTTATGCTGTTCCTGCTCTCCTAGGATGTTCCACCCAACGGGGTGGCAAAATCCGAGACAAACCTTCACGCTCAGCGCGCCGTCGCGATGCTATGCACGAGGCTGCTTCGTGGCCAAGCTTACAAACCAGACAGGGACCGCCACTCCAGCTGGCCAGCAAAAACAGATCGGGCGATGAAGGAAACCTGGGTGGGAGTGGATCTGAGAAAGGGTACCCTGTGTCCATCCAAAGGCCCGTGCAAATGTCCCTTTTTATGGAGAGAAGTCCCCAAGACTCGCTCTATTTTCAGAACGAGGAACAGACCCTGCTTCTCACCTGCCAGGATGGGATTTGAGACTGAGAGACAACAGGGGGATTTAGGACCCTCAAGACAATTTCTGAACTAACTGCGCATCTCATGGAAACGGACGGGCGTGACGACACATCAAGACATCAGCTGCTTCTGGAAGAGACATCTAAGAAGCCTGGGGTGACTCCCAGAATATGGCTCAAGGAACAGTCTTGGTGGGAGTCAAGTGAAGGGCACAAAGTATTTCTCTTCCCAAGGATGGCTCCTAATAAAGCCACGCAGTGCGTGCTGTCCGTGGTGCCGACGGCCACATGAGAGGGGATGCTAAGTCAATGGCTCAAAATCTCTCACTACCCAGTTATAGCAGCTTAGACCCACTTCACCTCTCGTGGCACCTTCCCATGGAACTCTGGGATCTGTTGTCTGGCGAGGGGCGTCACATCCTTGGCTAGAGAGCTCTAAGGTTCCCAACTTTGCGTCACCCAGATGTTCTTGGATCACAACTCCCAGAAATCCCAGCCAGCAGAGCTGGGGGCGAAGGCTTCTGGGAGTTGCTGTCCGAGAACGCCAGGGCGACCCAAGGCCGAACAGCAGCAAGAAAAAAAAATCAAACCCCGACATTGAAGGGCTAATTGGATTGCCAACGACAGAGCCACAGAAGTTGACGTGGGACCCAGACGGCGACACGTACGTCGTGCAGATAACATTCTTATCCAACTCTTTTTTTAAAAAAACAATTCCCCGTTTTCCCCCCACCTCTAAACCCTTTTTACAGTGATTGGTCTGGCATCCGTCCAGCTTGCTTTCGGACTTCGGTACACCTTGTGGTTAAAAGAATAACTCTTCGCATAGCTTTCTAGTCTGCTCGGGGGATGTCACGCTGTGACCGATGGTCCTTGGATCTGTGTATATTTCATAGTCGTTCCCGCCCTGTGAACGAGAGACACACAGAGGGCTTTAAGCTTCAGCCTTTTCAGCCCCACAAGCATCTAACTTCTTGGAGCTGCCAGACCTGTTCTGAAGCCTCAACCGTGAGACTGGATCCTTTTTTGCCTGCCGTTCTCCTGATGTTCCCTTACCAAACAGAACCACCCAGCAACAGTTTACTGATAGGCTTCTATACATACAGTGGTGCCCCGCTTAACGATTACCCCGCTTGATGACGAATCCGCTTCACGACGATGTTTTTGCGATCGCAATTGCGAGGCACCACTGTACATGTTATAAAATATCATTCTTCTATGCAAATAAATATTTATGATATCCAAACCCCCTTAATTGAAATCCAAACCACATTTCTTCAAAAATACCTCCAGTGACAGGGGCAATTCAATGATTAACTCAAGGCGACACAAACATTTATAATACTACATTTCTTTTAGTCTGGAAAACCACCCAAAGTGCTAAATTCATTCACAGAACGGCTTATTACGCATAGCTGGTACCCGACATTTCCTTGAGTTTCTTTCAAAATCCTCACTGCTTCTCGGCAGAATCTATTTTACTTTGATAACGAACTTGTTCCTCGTTTCATAAAGCGTTCATTGCTGCTGACCAAGACACAGGCATATAAATGCGGTTTCCGGTTTCTTGATCAAAGTGCCAGGATGCAACAAGGAATAAATTTGGGTCTAAATAGGCTTGTTGGGGAGAGAAAATGGGGAGGTGTATTTCCCTCCCTCGTCTCAAAATTGTGCTTTTTAAAAATTAACCGGCTTTGACTCCTTACCGGCATGGTCTTATCTCCAAAGAAATAGATCTTCTTGAAGCCGTCCTCGCAAACGGTCCCTAAGCAGTATCGCTTGTCCCAGCCGTCTGGGAACACATCAAAACTTATCTGGCCTCCTAGAGAAGGTGAAATGAGAATTAAAATCGCAGCAGCTTTGTTACGAGGGAGAGACAGGGAGGCAAAGTTTCAACACGGTGGACCCGGCAGAAAGACTTTTCTGAAGAAAATCTCAGCCAGGATGAAAGGAAGCGAATGGGGGGGATGAAACGGAAGATGTGGAGGGCTGTGATTATAATTTTAAAATAACGGCTGTCCTAATGAGGTCAGTTCTAGGAAGCCACGAGTCACTATTATTATTTTTTTTGGGGAAGAAGAGGTCCAAATCACCAACGCTGGAGCAGTACAATCAGCCAGGTTCAAGCCGTTTGGCACACCGAGGAAACGGCGGTCCGTTTTGCTTTAAGGAAGTGGTACGTACCGATGGAGAAAGTGAGGCCCTTTCCGGCAAAATCTCTCCGCAAGTCGGCCACAAACGTCTCTCGGATCCCTTCCCTCTGTGGAAAGAACGGGAGGCAAAAGAGAAAGAGAGAGAGAGAGAAACCGATGAAGCTTCTCTCCATTTCTGGAAACAGCCTTAAATGAAGTAGCTTTGCTCTCCTGCCCAGTGGGAAGAGATGTGCGGCGAGACTCCACCACACAGCAGAAGATGCTGGGAGGCAAGCGGCCGACGCACACCGTTGACGTGCCCTACGCAAAGTAGGCCCGGCCCCAAAGAGGCCAAGAAAGTTACTTTTTCCAGACTGCTTCGCCCAGATCCCCTCGCCTAACACAGGTGGGAGGGGTTCTGGCTGCGATGTGTCCATTGCCCTGGTTACACCCTTCAGGTTTCTTCACTCGTGCACCCTGAACGTTTTTTCCCCTGTCATTTTGGGGTATCATCTGTTGAGACCTTGACATCGGTAAATACTTTCATTTCCAAATGGCCCCAAATTGTGCTTTGTTTCTTAGTTAGGTGCTATAAGGTCATCCCTGACTTATGCCAACCCTACAAATCTTCAAAATGTCCTTCCGGTCCTCAAAAGCCCTGCTCAGTTCTTACAAACCGAAGCCTGTGGCTTCCTTTAGCAAATCAATCCATCTTGTGTGGGGTCTTCCTCTTTCCCTGCTACCTTTCTGGACATCATCCTCTTTTTCAGAGAATCCTGCCTTCTTACACGAGGTGGCCAAAGTGGGTCAGCCTCGGTTTCAACATTTTGGCCTCCAGAGAGAGAGAGAGAGAGAGAGTTCAGGCTTGATTTGATCTAGGACCCAGATGGAATATGTTTTTTTTAAAAATACTACTTCCAGAGGGAAGCGACTCACCTTATCAAACTATGGACATTATCCTCTTTTTCAGAGAATCCTGCCTTCTTACACGAGGTGGCCAAAGTGGGTCAGCCTCGGTTTCAACATTTTGGCCTCCAGAGAGAGAGAGAGAGAGAGAGTTCAGGCTTGATTTGATCTAGGACCCAGATGGAATAAGTTTTTTTTAAAAATACTACTTCCAGAGGGAAGCGACTCACCTTATCAAACTCGTAGAATTCAATCCGCTCTTCTCGGCTGCAGTTTCGGCCGACGGGGGACACATTCAGCATCCCGTTCCGGAATTCAATAAAAGTGCCCCTAAGATGACACAGTCCAAAAAAAAGGGGGGGGGGAATTTTAAAGAGATGCCATAGCAGTACAGTAAGAATCCCGTCTCTGCAGTTCCAAGCCCCCCCTGCAGATACTAAAAATGTGGGTTATAGTGAACACTATTTTAATTGTGAACTCTATACCTCACAGGTTCTCTGGCTCCCACTAGTGTCCAGTCCTAGTAACTTCACCTTTAAAAATAAATAGTCCTAGGATTTTTCTTTTAATATTCTTAATAAGTTCAGACTGCACATAAGTGAATTACTGGATACAGCTCCCGTGGATTAGTTACAGTCTTCCAAAGTATTCAAGTTGCCTCCTCTCATCACGATAACCCTGGGAAGTAGGTGAGGCGGAAACAAGGTATCTGGCCCAAGACCATGTAGTGAGTTTTGTGGCTAAGGACTAGAGCCTTGTCTGATGCTTTAATCCAGAGACCATCCTGATTCTCTGTCCAGCCCAGGCGAAGCAAGAAAGCTGGTTAACACAGACGTACCGTTTCCTGGGCAGCTTGATTTTAGCGATGTAACTGAGGCAGTAGTTGATCAAATCCTGGAGCAGTTCTTCACCCATCTGGCCTTGAATGCTCTAAAAAAAAAAAAAGAAGACACGTGAGTAGACAGAAGCAGAGCACTATCAAACAGTCCAGAAAAACTAGTCTCCTGAATTCATATCTTTTTTTTTTGCATTTGTTGTTGTGGGAACACGGACACTGCTACCTGTCTGAAGACCTCCCTATGGTCCTGAGGCGGCAATCTGCCCCCCCAATAATTTTAACTCATCATCCTTCATACAAAAACAATACGTTTATACAATAAGGGATTTCTCATTTCCTCTACCTTCTCTCCACCACATATAATCTCATAGCTCTCCCCATCTGTCCCAAATAGCACGAGAAAACAACTTAATGTGCTGTTGATCTGTTCACAAACTTTAGAAAACTTTTTATTTTTTCGACAACTGATGTTTCAGAGTGAGTGAGTGAGACTGTAAGTGCCAGTTGAGAGGATAGGGGTGGACTACCTGGGGAACATAAAGGTATTCTACTCTGTGAATCCCTCCACTTCTCCTGCAAAGCGAGAGGAATGTAACCAAAATTTCCAGACTCTATAGCGGTTAGGAGGGGATGAGAAGAGTTCACAACAGGGAACCTGAAATTAAGATGCTTAACCAGTCTCTTTAGTTTATCACATTTCATTACAAATTGCAACCTCACCTGTTTATGTAAGAGCTTCCCGTCCTTGTATGCCACTAGACCATTTTCTGGGAAAACGTAGTCATAGTTTTCAACCACTACATGGAAAAAAAAAGAGATAGAAATATACAATCTTAAACATTATTTCAGTCACTTTTAGATATTGCATATATTAATTTTAATAGATCAATTGATTGGTGTATATTAATATTAATATAGTCCTAGTTCCAGAACATCTTTTTCTATTTCATCCCAGCGACAAAGGGTGGCGCAGCGCTTGTGCAAACGGGCTGTGCGGGGGCGGTGTCTCTCTCCGTGGCCCCGTCTGGCTCAGGCCACAGACGGCAATGGGCCACGGAGGGGAGTTTGGGAACCTCTGCATTTCCAAACCAGCTTGTGCATTAAAGCAGAAGGCTGAAATGGAGGAAACTGAGCATGCTATAATCAAATACAGTGGTGCCTCGCTTAACGAGCGCGCCGTTTAACGAAGAATCCGCATAGCGACGGGTCATTCGCAATCGCTAATGCGATCGCATTGCGACATACGATCGCATTAGCGATCGCATTGCGACTTTTTAAATGGCAAAACATCGCGTTGCGATGATCGGTAAGCGTTTTTTTGGGAACAGCTGATCGGCGGTTCCAAAATGGCCACCGGAAGAAAAAAATGGCTGCCCGCTCCGTTTTCACGCCCTGCCCTCGCTTACCGGGCGGTGAAAATGGCGGCCAGATGGGGGAATCTTCGCATAGCGGTGAGTTTTCGCCCCACAGGAACGCATTAAACGGAGTTTAATGCGTTCCTATGGGTTTCCCCCCCCGCGTAGCCATGAATCCGATTAGCGACGCTAATCCTGGAACGGATTAAAGTCGCTATGCAGGGCACCACTGTATTTGAGGAAGGCAGACTGGAAGGCAGTTTAAGACTCCAAATAGATCTTTCTCTTATTGCCATCCCTAAGAGATTTTAGCTGAAGGATAACATATAATTTAATTTTTTTTAATATAAATGTTTGACGGGGATTCCAATCATATATTAAAAAGTTGAATTTCACTGTTGTTGGCTACTTATTGCATCGTATCGTGACACAAACAGAACCCTATTCCAGGTAATGAAAGGGGGAAGTTCACCCGATGGTGGTTGTCAAGCAGAACACAACTCTTCGTAAATAAATCCACAAAATGTCACTGCTTCCGGAAACGGGTTCTTCCTGGAATCATAAAACAGTTGCTCTTTTATAGCTCTAAGTGGCAATTCCAAAGTACAAACTGAGCAAAAAAACAGGAAAGGCATTATATGAGACAAGAGTACGCCACTCAGAGGATAGCTTTTTTTTCTCTTGTAGCGCCTCTGCTTGACTTGACCCGCTGAATTCCAACTTTCCGGATCTGCTCCGATGCCTCATTGCCACGTTCTCTTTCTACCCCACCCTCAAACGGATCGGGCCCTGCTATGTTACCGCCTGCCTCTTTCTTTCGAATAAAAGCGGGTACCGAACGAGGGGAGGAAGTCGCTTCTCCATCACGGAAAGTTTCTCAAAATCACCGAAATCTCATCTGCTAAAGCCTCGGGTTCTAATCTTACCCTCTTCCCCGAGCTGTTCTTGAATCTTTTCGAAATCGGAGCCGCCCACGACGCCGACTTTCACTTTCTTCCTCAGGGCTTGCAGGAAATCGGCCATTTCTGGGGTGATTTTCTAGATGCAAAAAAAGAAACAGAGAAGATTCAATAGCCAACGGAGCAACACGCGACAGAACCAAGGATCATCCAAGCTGGGCACGGATTTCTCGTTATCTGTGAATAATTTTGTGCTGTCAAGATGATGATTGACGGAGAACCTTTCCAGGGTTGTCCAGGTGGGGAATAGTCAGCAGCGCCTTACCCTTCCCTTCCACTAGGGGGAGCCCTGGGACTGTGCCGCTTGCCCAAAGCTACCCAGGCTGGCTCTTCTCCCAGGAGACATCATGGGGGGAATTATTTGTTTGTTGGGTTGGCTTCCCCACTGCGACCCCTCGCCCCCCAGAAAACCCTGATCAGTCTGGGGAAAGAAGATCCTACACACACACACACAGATACGGAGTGTGACGTCATGGATAGAACGGCAGACGAGGACTCAGGAGACCCGAGTTCGAATCCCTGCTCAGCCAAGGAAGCAAGCTCGCTGGGGGCGTGGAGCTAGTAATGCCACGTCTCAAATATCGCACATACTGGGACGGTCATAAATTGGATGTGGCTCGGGAGCAACCTCACACACATGTACATAGACAGTAGGGCCCCCATTATCCACAGGATCCGTATACACGGACTGACTTATCTAAAAATATTAAAATTACTAAAAGAAAAACGCCCTCAATATATTTCTAATGATGAAGTGACCAGGACTGGCCACTAGAAGGAGCCAGAGACCATACTATAATCAGCTTTTGCTATTACTGTATCATTGTGTTTGCTATCATCTGCGTGTTTCAGTATTATGTATTGCTTTTGCTATTATGATAGTGTTTGCTATCATCCGCGTGTTTCAGCATCCACACAGACGGGGGGGCTTGGAACCGATCCCCCACGGATCCTGGGGTCCTGCTGTATGTAGAATGAGAAAACGGGGGCGTACCGCTGGAACACCCCGTAAGCAATAAGGAACAGGATACGAACCCAGACCAGGAGACAAAGGGCGCCCAATTGTTCTGAAGAGGAGGAAACTGACAGTAATTGGATTTAAAAGGAGGCAGGTTTCCTGTTGGCCAGGTTTTGCCATTTCCCTGTGAGATTTCATTTGCAAGATTTCATATGCATTCATTCTATGCATTTATTATCTTTGTCTAATCGGGTTTATGACCGCATATGGAAAGTGACTCCCTGCTTACTCGCTGCCTTGCAAATGCTATTTACTTCCTGCTATTTTGCCTTTCCCAATTATTTTGCACAAAGTTTTAGCTTTTTCCACCTTGGCTTTGAAGGGTGCAAGACCGCCTTGGGGTTTCCCCCCCTTTTCTCCTTTAGGGGAGAAAAACAGAGTTAAAAAAATAAAACCCCAGCCCCCAATTCATGTCTTTCTCGCGAAGGCTTGCTGGTTTGAGAGACATTTCAAATAAATACATTTATTTCAAATACAATATTTCAAATAAATGATGCAATGCAATGCAATTAAAAAAAAAGGTGAGGGGAGGGAATTTTAGGCTTAAAAAGGGAATTTAAAGGAGGCATGGCCCGTCCCCTCCCCTCCCCTCAATGGGCGGCGCTCTGCCCATGCCCAGAGGCACTCCCTCCGGGGCGCCTTCCCGGCTCCCCCACCTGCCGAGGGGCGGTCAGGGTGCCG